GTATAATTGTACATTTTGTATTTGTTTCACCCCACTTGTGCTTTTTCATTGTAAACCTGCACAATGGTTACTACTACTAACCACATGACAGAGTCATTATTAGGCTGTCTTAAATTCTCCTCTGCCAAAGAAAATTCATTACTTTTAAATATAGCCTTGAGAAACTTCTTAGAATATGGTTAGAAAGCAGCCACATTTTTTTTTTTTCTGAACTAATCACACAAATGTTCTCTAGCCCAGTTGCTAAAGTAACAATCTCTTAAGCTGGGCCTCCACAGTATGCATGTTAGAGCCCCGGAAAACTCAGGTACCCAGGGTCCCAGGCCATGACTGCGGTCACCCCAATCACCAGGCGGATTCAAGAGCTTGCTGCAAACTGCACGAGGCTTTATTGTAATTTAACGAGCTAACCCCATGTTAGCTTGGGTCTTTCACCCACCCGCCATGGTGGATGGCTAGAAAAGACGGCTCCTAGGGCCTCCCAAGAGATCTTATAGGGCAGCGTAAGGGGAGTGTCTAGGGGCACGCACAGGCTCACGATTGGTGTGCCTCCAGGCTTGGAGGGCTTGCCCTGTGTTGATTGGCCAACTGGTTGTTATGGCCCATAGGCCCTCCCAGGGTGGTTGCTATGCTTTGTGCGTCATTGCTGTGCACTTGTCCGTAAAGCACACCCAGGGTTGTAAAGCATAGCACCACCACCACAACTTCTGATTGGTTCCTTGTCACGAGGCAGGCATCTGACTTTCTAGTGACTAACTACCTTCTGATTGGTTCCTTGTCACAAGGCAGGTATCTGACCTCTAAGTGACCAAGGCAAGTTTTATGGCAAATACGTGTTTGGCTGTTATGGCTGCCAAAAGGGAAGCTGGTCCCTTCATGCATAGCTCTCAACACTACTGTATTTCAAACTCCTACTACAAACATTTAATTGGGGTGGCTCACTTACACTTCAGAAGTTCAGCCCCTCATCATCATCATGGCGAGACATGGTGGCATGAAGGCAGGCATGGTGCTGGAGAAGGAGCTGAGGGTCATCATGCAGGCAACAAGAAGTGGTCTGAGTGTCACACTGAGTGAAACTTGAGCAAAGGAGATCTTAAAGCCTGCCCCCCCCCCCAAGTAACAGTGACACACTTCCTCTAACAAGGCTATACCTACTCCAACAAAGCCATATCTCCATATAATGCTGAAGGGACCTGCTCCCTTTTGGCAGCCATAACGGCAGAACAGGTGCTTCTATGACCTTGTCCTAGACACTAGAAAGTCAGATCCCTGCCTTGTGACAAGGAACCAATCAGAAGTTAGCTGGTGGTGCTATGCTTTATGACTCTGGGTGTGCTTTACGGACAAGTGCACAGCAATGACGCACAAAGCATAGCAACCACCCTGGGAGGGCTTATGGGCCATAACAACCAGTTGGCCAATCAACACAGGGCAAGCCCTCCAAGCCTGGAGGCACACCAATCGTGAGCCTGTGCGTGCCCCTAGACACTCCCCTTATGCTGTCCTATAAGATCTCTTGGGAGGCCCTAGGAGCCGTCTTTTCTAGCCATCCACCATGGCGGGTGGGTGAAAGACCCAAGCTAACATGGGGTTAGCTCGTTAAATTACAATAAAGCCTCGTGCAGTTTGCAGCAAGCTCTTGAATCCGCCTGGTGATTGAGGTGACCGCGAACGTGGCCTGGGACCCCGGGTACTTGAGTTTTCCAGGGGTCTAACAGTGCCACTCCCTGCAGGCTTATAGGGGCCATTTAGGTTCAAACTACAACATTCCACTCCTTGGCCCCCATAAGCTTGTAACAATATCGTAATGCAAAATACATTTAGTCCAACTTCTAAAGTCCCCATAGTCTATCACAGTCTCAACAATGTTTAAAAGTCCAAAATTCAAAGTCTCTTTTTAGATTCATGCAATCTTTTAACTGTAATCCCCTGTAAAATTAAAAAAGCAGATTACATACTTCCAACATATAATGGCACAAGATATACATTACCATTCCAAAACATAGGGAAAGGACCATAGTGAGGAAACAGTAGATCAAAGCAAGACTGAAAATCAAACCAGCTGGGCAAACTCCAAAATCTCATCTCCGTATCTGACATCAAAGCACTGTTCAGATCTCCAACTCCTTTCAGCTTTGTTGACTGCAACACACTTCTTTCTCTTGGGCTGGTTCCACTCCCTGTTAGCCGCTTTTCTCAACAGGTATCTCATAGCTCTGGCATCTCCAACATCTTGAGGTCTCCAAAGGCAATCCAGGATTCAACTTCACAGCTCCACATAATGGCTTCTCTAGGCCTCCATTCAGGGACACCCCTGATACATGCCTGGCTTCAGCAGCTTTCCTTAGTCTCAGAGGCAAATTCCATAGCCCCTTTCTTCTGTCCTTAATTCTAAAGACAGAACCACATGGCAAAAGCTGCCAAGTTCTGCTGCTTGCTTGAACTGGAACACGGCTCCCTCATTGAATTACATCTTCAACTTTCTGACATGATGGTTTCCTTTACTAAGCTTGGCTGTTTTGGAACTTGCTCTGTAGACCAGGCTGGCCTTGAACTCAGAGATCTTTCAAGCTCATCTTCACCAGCTTTCTGTTTTCAATTATTTCCTTCACTGCCTAAGCATGGCTGTTTTGGAACTTGCTCTGTAGACCAGGCTGGCCTCAAACTCAGAGATCCACAAGCCTCTGCCAGTGCTGGGATTAAAGGTGTTTACCATCACACCTGTCTCTAAACGTTTAATTCCTTTTCACAAATTAGAAATTTAGCTGGGTGGGATCTTGCCCCTGAGGTCACTACTCCCTTTACTCCATTTCTTAATCTGCTTATCTCCTTGAATACAGGATTTAGTTCTATTTCACTTCCTGGTGTTCCAGTTCTCTTCAAATTTTACATCTTGTTATTTTTCCTTGTTCAGCTTGATCCTTTTCATTTTTTTTAAAGATTTATTTATTATGTATACAGTGTTCTGCCTGCAGGCCAAAAGAGGGCACCAGATCTCATTACAGATGTTTGTGAGCCACCATGTGGTTGCTGGGAATTGAACTCAGAACCTCTGGAAGAGCAGCCACTGCTCTTAACCTCTGAGTCATCTCTCCAGCCCCTGATCCTTTTCACTTTAATACTAGAGTTAATCGTAATAACATGACAGAACCTAAACTAGGCTGTTTTGAGATTTCCTTTGCCAACAGAATTAACCCAAAACTCTTCAATTTAGCCTCAGGTAGACTCTTTGGATAAGGGCAAAAGGCAGCCACTCTCTTCACTAAAATATTACAAGAACAATTCTAGGCAACATATTAAAATTCTTTGAACCTCTTGAGCCAGCTCCTGACATTTCAAATCATGATTAGCACCACTGTGCAACATGGGCCTGCTAGTATACACCATTATGTAGTACTTAAAGCATTCCACTGCTTTCCCAACCCAAAGTACCAAAGTCCATATTACTCCAAACAAAAGCATAATCAGGCCTGTCACAGCAATACCCCAGTCCCTGGTACCAATTTCTGTTTTAGTTTGGGTTTTTATTGTTGTGAAGAGATGCCATGACCATGGCAACTCATGAAAAACAAATGAACAAAAAAAACATTTAATTGGCGAGGTTCACTTACAGTTTCAGAGGTACAGTCCATTATCATGACAGGGAGCACAGGGCGTGCAGGCAGACATGGTGCTGGAGCAGAGTGCTACAGCTCACAGGCAACAGAAGTCAAGTGATAATCTCACTGTGGGAAGTTTGAGCAGGAGATTTCAAAGTTTACCCCTACAGTGACACATTTCCTCCAACAAGGTCATACCTCCTAATAGTGCCAGTCCCTTTGGGGGTCACTTTCTTTCAAACCACCACAAGCCTCAGTCTCAGTTCTTACTCTAACCCACCTACCAGAAATGCCCAAAGTATTTGAAAAGTATCTTGATTTATGGCTTTCTTTGTTCTGTTGCTACAAAGTTCATGAAAATTGCTACCTCACTGTTACATGGTATTTGAAGAGATCTAAATTCATGTTCCTGGGCTGCAGTGACTCAAATTTAGCTTTTATTTCTTTGTTGTAAGAGCTGTTTCTTTTGTCTACCACGAAGTTGGGTTTCATGAATACACAATGAAGATGCTCCCATTCCTTAGTTGATTCTAAACAAAGTTAATATACTATGTAAATAATCCAATCATTTTGCACTTTTTAAACTACGGGTTCACATGGAGAATAATGATATACACTTGTAACCCCAGCATTTGGGAAGTTGAGACAGGATTACTATGCATTTATTGACAGCCCATGTACATAATTCAAATCTAGCCAGAGATACAAAGCCAAACTGTGTTTCAAAAACAGAAAAACAAAAGAGCTTGGATCAGACATGGTGGCATGATGAGAATGCCTCTAATCCCAGCACTTGGGAAGCAGAGGCAGAGGTAGGCAGATCTCTGCCAGTATGAGATCAACCTGGTCTGCAATGAGGCCAGAAGAGGGCATCAGGTCACCAGAAACCAGTTACAGCAGGTTCTGAGCTGCCATGTTGTTGCTGAGAACCAAACTTAGGGCTTCAAAGTTTTATGTGTTCTTAACCTCTGAGCCAGATCTCCAGTCATATAAAATATATCTTTAGAAAATTAATAATAGGGGGCCAAGCTTGGTGGTAAATAAACACCTTAAATCCTAGCACTATGGAAACAAAGGCAGATAGTTTTCTGTAAGTTTGAGGCCAGCCTGGTCTACATAATGAGTTCTAGGACAGCCAGGATAGCCAAAGCTGCATAATGAGACCCTGTCTCAAATAATAATAATAATAATAATAATAATAATAATAATAATAATAATAGAGAATGGAGAGATCGGGATATAGCTTGGGGGCAGGGTGTTTGCTTAGCCTGCTAAAGGGCATGTTCAATCTTCAGTACCAAAAAAAGAGATGTTCATAAAACTATCAAATGTCCATGAATTAAAAGTGCTACCTATTCTCAGCATGGCAGTAAATAAGAAATAAGCAGATCCACAAAAGATGCTTGAATAGCATGTCTTTAATACTGTCTTAAAAGGTCTGCTACTCAACTACAGAGAGTGTACTCTGAAATGTAAAATATGGTTCTCCTAAACCTAAATAGAGAATTCTTTTATCAGTATTTGTCTACTTAGAACATATTTTCATTTCAAAAGAATGTAAGCTTTCTCACAAAGTCAGAACACAATTCACATTGTGAACAGAAACTACAATATTTAAATCTCAACATTTAAGGACATAAACACAGCACATTATTTTCAAACATAAGTCACTTAAAGTAAATTAGATGTAATTTCTAACTTAGGTGAAAAAATATTTTTTATGCAGTGTCTTGACCAAAATCAAACAGTTAAGGGGAAAACTACCATATTCTGATGCAAACCAAACTCTACTAAAATCATATTAGAGATCTGAATGCAGATAAACTACGGCTGTAGAATTAGATGCCTTAAGCTAGGGGATGATGAGAGCGTATCAGGAACCAGATCCCAATTTTGTTTATGAGTGTGCAGATATGCCACAGCATATATGGAGGTCTGAAGACAGCTCTGTGGAGTTGGCTCTCTCTTTCCACCCTTATGTGGATCCCAGGTGTTAAACTCAGGTTGTCAGGGGACCAGGCTTGCACGACAAGCACCTTCACCCAGGGAACCGCCTCCCCAGCCCAATTTTCACTACACTGGTAACAATCCTTCACTTTGAGGCCTTCATTCCCCAAGATACACTTCCAATTTTACAAAGCTATGGACAAGAAGGACCCACTTCTAAAAATCTACTTTATGAAGTTATTGATTAAATATGGAATGACTTTTCTCTTCTGAAGACAGCAAAATATTATTTTCCTCAAATATTGACTTGACAGTTTATTTTGACAAGTGATTGAGAAAAATAAATGAAGCTCTGACTATAAATACAAATGTGTATGTACATCTCTATATTCTGAGAGGCTGTCCTATGATCTCATTTATACTTCTGATTTAAATTATAAGTTCTCTCAATAAAGGGCATTAATTTTAACTTTTAAACTTAAATCATCTTTACTGCACCATTATCCTCTCTACTTTTCATTTTTACATTATTTCTATAAATACTCAAATGAAAAACAATCCACCATCTTGAAACCAATATACAACATTATATTGGCGGTCTAAGGATTTTTTAAAATATTTTGTTAAAGTGTAAAAACCCTGAAATTACAAACAAAAAAATTACAATTTTACAGTATATAACTAATTTATTTTAAAAAAATATTCTGATTTTTTTTTTTTTATACAAGTAATCAAGTACTGTTTTTTCAAATGAAATCCTGTGTGTCAGCTACAAGAGAGCATGTAGTCTTGTCCCACTAGTACATCTCATTTTCTCAGGCTGGTACTTCAACAATTTCAAAGCAGTCATGTGGGAGAATCACATAGCCCCTTTCTGACGCATCATCTCTCTCTCTCTGGAAGTGCACTGCTTCCTTTAGCTTCTCCAGCTGTCTCTCCTGCCTGCGGCACCGCTGCTGGGCGGTCTTGAGTTTCTTCCTGAGCTTTTCGACCTGCTGCTCCAGCTGGTGAATCCGCTTCCTTTGGTGCATTGTGTCCTCCACAGTGTAATTGTGGTCACAGAACACCGACAGGTTATCAGGGGTCTGGAGGGGAGGCATTAGCAGCCCAATAGCAGCATCGACCTGGGAAGTAGGGGGTGAAGGAGGAGAGGGAAGCTGTTCTTGGGGTTCCAGATCTTCCTTCTAAAATAGCAACATAAAAGCATATGTGAGTTTAGTAACTAATGGCCTCCAAACATCTGTAGAGTTTTAGCATTGGACTTTTTTGTCACTTCATGGTACAGAAAAAAAAAAAACGAGAAAGAGAAAATAGGTTTTCTTGAAGATGGTTTTGACAACATTGGCATGGAATCCAGGTTGCCAGGACCTCAACACAAAACTTTTTATCATTAAAACTATATCTTCCAGGCTAAAAATTTCAACACTAGGTTTTGGCTTGTATGTGGATTTTTAAGAACAGGGTCTTATATAAAGTAAAGGATTACCAGCCTACAATCCACACTGCCAGAGATGCTAGTAAACAAGGAGGACCCTAAGAGAGACATACATGGACCCCTAGAGAAGGGGAAAGGGTCAAGATCCCCTGAGCAAATTGAGAGCATGGGAAGAGGGGGGGCAGGAGAATGAGAGGGGAAGAGGAGGGATGCAGAGGTCATGAGGGAGCAGAAAGGTTGAGTCAGGTGAAGAATAGAAGAAGGGGGATGTGATAGGTAGGGTTTTAGTTGGAGGTGGGGGGAGGGGTGGGGAGTGGTGGGGAGGATTGAGGGAGAAGGGAACTGGGATTGTCATGTAAATCAATCTTGTTTCTAATTCAAATAAAAAATGATTAAAAAAAAAAAAGAACAGGGTCTTGTTGTGTAGCCTAGGTTGGCCTCACACTTCAGATCCTCCTATACCTCCCAAGTTCTAGGACAACAAGTAACATGTAACTCCACCTGCCATAAGTTTGGGGTGGGTTTTGTTTGTTTTGGTTTTTTTTTTTTTTTGGTGTGGGGGGGAAGCAGTGTGCTTACTGTATAATCCAGGTTGGCCTGGAAATTACTATGTTTATACCAAGCTAGCTTCACACTTGTGGCAATCCTCTTGGTTTGTTCTCCCCAGTGATCAGACTGCAGGTATGTGACACCACAAGCCATTTTCAGTTCCAATTCAAATTTTCTATTTGCAGTTAAAGTGAGATTTGTGAAACTGAGAAAGTGATTTAGTTAGATGTAAGTAAATACTAAACACCTAAAACAAGAGAAAAATAATTTGAAAATAAACTGTCATTAATAATGAAAAACAAAACTTATCAACATGTAAAGACACAGAACTGTTTTTAACTTACAAAACTAGAATGAGTTTTTAAGTGTGAGATATTAAAATTCATAGAATTCTAAATTTTTTAAAAGTATATTATTGTTACTTAGTGGTTTTTTTTTCTTTATAATCGTGTGTGTGTGTGTGTGTGTGTGTGTGTGTGTGTGTGTGTGTGCTGTGGGGTGGAGGTGGAGCTGCAAGAAGAGGCCAGAGACATGTGATCCCCTGGAGCTGGAGTTCCAGAAATTGTGAGCCACTTGATGTGGGTGCTGGGAATTAAACTAGGGTCCTCTAGAAGAGTAAGACACACTCTTGACCACTGAGTCCCAATAGTGGTTGTTGTAAAATGATATGTTTCAAATACATGTGTTTTCTTAACCCTTTCCTGATTTTTCCAAAATTTCCACCATGAACACATTAGTTTCATAGATTTTATGGTTATTAGTGTACAGCCCAAAATCAGTGCTCAAGATCCTAGAATTTGGAAGGCAGAGGAAGGAAGATGGGGAGTTCCAATTCCGACCCAGCTGTATAAAGCTCAAGCAGCCTGGACTAGGTAAGCCCCTACCTCACACAAGGGACGTGAGGGGAGGAGAATGGAGAGGAGAAAAGAAAACGAGGATAAGAAAGGGAAAGAAAAACAATAACCCAATATTTAAAACCCGAAGTACCTTGTCATGTGGCTCAATACAAAGAAATATTGTGGGTACAGCATTCTCCTTCAGTAATTTGTTGTTGCACTCTCTCTTAAAGCAGTCTGGGGTAAAGTGCTCTGAACAAATACTGCTGTATTTAGTAGGCTTGAAGTTTTTTCTTCTAACAGCTGCCTCCCACTGTTTACAAAGACCGGGGCGAGTCAGAGGAAACCTAAGAAGACAAAATTCAGTTCTCTGACTTTACTAAGAAAAAAAAAATAAACAAAACCACCCAGCCAAGAGAATCTGACTGAAAACTGGATCCTGTTACTATCTCACTGATTAATGCTCATCTTTTCATAACGAAGACACTGACAATGCAAGTAAAACAGACAGTGTGCAATGCAATTCTACTCACATTTTTACTAGCACTTTTGTGTTTTGCAGTAAAACACAAATCCTACATATGGCTGTATCCTGAGATAGACTTCTAGCTCTTCCTGAATCAGCCCAATAAATATAAATAGACTAAATCCTGACTGCCTGAATTATAGGCAAATGATTAAGAAATAAAGGACATCTTTTATTTTATCACTTAACCCAGCCTAGGTAATGAGGACCCTTTACATCTATTGTCACTATGCTTTTCCATGTCAAAGACTTGGTGGTACACTGGAACTGGAAAAAGACCAAGAATGTTCAATTTATGCTTCATAATTATTCCACCCCATAAGGTGCACCAGACCCGATCATGCTTTTTTTTTTTTTTTTTTCATGAAGACCTAAGCAATCTTCATGCTAGTGCTTATTCTTTGCACAGCAAGCTTTCTGCACTACCAGTAGATACAAGCTGGAAAACGACGTATTTCTAGAAAGAAGTACATACCAGTGGGGAGTTGTTAGAAATCTTAGTATCTAGTCTCCCAGCCTAGGAGCCCAAATTCTTCGAGGTCTGTCAAGATTTTTGCCATTTATTGTTCTTTTAAATAATGGATAAGATTCGTGTTAGTCCTTTTATTTTTCAACATCCAGCAGCTGAAATAGTATTTTTGATGTGTGTCATCTTAAACTTATTTTAACATTCCCCCACTTGCCACCCTAATTTAAGCATAGGGAAGGGTGGTGGCAAGTTGAATGTATATCCCCCCACTATTTCCTGATCTATTTATTCCTACAGGATGAAGATGTATGAAATTTCAGAAATTCCAATCAATCAAGTAGTAGTATTAGGAAATATTCTATCCTCTTCCCAGACAGAAAACATCAGCACACTTATCTCACTTTCTACCAAACATTCTTTTGTTACAAACCAAAACAAACAAAACCCTGAAAGAACATTTTGAAATTTGCTTCTGTAATTGTTTTGCTATGGATAACTTGTATAATTTACCAGTGAATCTGATCTCTTAGCTATCGTTTGCATACAGCCAGGAATTCTTTCAAAAACCTAATGTAAAATATAATAATGAATTTGGCTGCTTAAAAACATCACATTTTGTGGACCATTATCACTGTTAATAATTATCATTAGTAACGTTAATTCTGCAGTTTTCTTCTTTCAAGAAAGTATTTTTCACCCCAGGATTCTTGTTTGTGGTACCTACCACATGAGCCAGCCAAGACATCGATGGCAAGGGCTGGAATTAGATCCTTTGCTACTGAATAAAGCGTGTTATCGTCCACGTTGCTATTACTGTGTGATGAAAGGCTGGGGTTCATCTTGGCAGTACCAAGAACTTCCTCTGAAACCCAAAGACCCTTAAAGGTTGGTTCCTTGAAACTGGGTCTACAAGTCCTCCCTGACATGCCGGCCGGTTGTGTTATCCCTTCTCCCAACTACAGCAAGGTCGGAAAACTGTCTAACTCCTAAGTGTTTCTCTATCACGTTGATGATCCCTTGGGACGAGATTGTGAGGGCTGCGAGGGACCTGTAGGCGTCA